AATTCTAGTTAGGGCCTTTCATTTTGATTTAGCAACAATGGGATTTTTTCTGTCTTTTTTTTTCCCCTTCTAACAGCCTTTTAATATTTCCTTAAAGCTAGGTTTGGCTAAAAAAGAGTGTATTCATTCCATACAAGAGAATTAATTCTAATCTACATTGTCAAGTAAGCTGTATCCTTCAGAAGTAGCTAATTATCTGTGGTATAATGGAAGACAGCAGGAGAATCTGGACAGAAGAGATTGCAGGAGTTAAACACTGATTTCAAAATTCTGGATTTTTCTATGTGTTTTTCAGGGGGTGAAGGTAGAGGGGAATGAGCACTATTGATGGGTTTTCAGGGTATTTCTTCTGGATTGTTAAGTCATTTTACCCCGGAGGCAAATCTATTACCTGCAGGCAGATCTGTCTGAGACAGAAATACCTAATAGTGCCTTGGACACTGTTTTTATATATCTGGCACAGACAAGCTTATGCACAGCACTAGACAGATAAGGCTGATCTGAGAGAAGGAAAGAATAGGTGGGCTCTACTGCAGTGTGTGTGTGAATGTGGGAGTAGGGATACCTGGGGGAGGGGAAGGAGATTATGGTGGGCTTGATATTACTGCAACTACAATCCCGGTAGATGCTGGCTGCCAGATTTATTTTTTCCCTTTTCTAGTTTTATTCGTTGTAATTACCCTGACAGCCGTCAGGTCGGTGGGGGAGCTCTTGCTCTCTGAAAGAAATGAAGAGTCTACATTTCCAATATAATAATCATTTTTGTAAGGCTTCTGCTTTTTCTTTCCCACCGTGATTTTTTCTTTCCCTTTTGCCTTTATGTTTTTGCTCCTAGGGAAGGTCTTTTCTACGTTTTGGGCAAGAAATAAGGAGATCTTAAGTTACCGAAAAATAAATGTCATTCATGAATATTAAAAAAAAAAAAAGCCCTGGCTGTGAGCAGAAACGTCAGGTTTTACTTAATCCTTTCATTACTCATTTCACAGACATTCTTTAATTATGAAGGGAATGTCAAGATCTGCATGTGAATACAAACGGGGCCATAATGCTAAAGTAATCAGGTCCAGTTTACTTTTTTTTCGAAGCTGTAGGTTTGGCCTTTGCCTTTTTTCTGCCCAGATGACCACTGCAAGACTTTTTCCATGGAACCTTGTGCCATTTTTTAAGAAGGATTCATAAACACGCTGCAACAGCTACAGCCTAGAGGGGAGGACCAGGAGCCAGAGAGAGTTGGGTTCAAATGTGGTTTCAGATACTTGCTTGCTGGGCCATGCTGGGCCATGCTGGGCCATGCTGGGCAAGTCATTTTAACCTCTATGAACCTCAGTTTCCTCCTCTGTAAAGTGAAGGGATTGGATATAATGGCCTCTAAGGTATATTCTATCTCTAAATCCACTATCACTATGACTTAGAGCTTCTTTAAATTACAATGCTAAAAATCATATTATAATTTTACTGTACTGAATATTATTTTATACAGAGATAGGTTAAAGACTGGACTTGTGATTTCATTTCAATAATGAAATCACTCTTCTTGGGTATAGATTCAAGAATTCCTCTACCATGCCTCTTCATCCTGGAAGCCCTATCCAGCCTGGAAATTTACACGTTGTAAGCATCTTGCACCACTATAGCCTCTCCCTAAGATTGAACGTCTCCTTTCAGAAATGAACTTGCAGTTTCATATGCAATTATCTTTTTTTATTGTACTATGTTATGGGAATGCTTGTTGTATTACATAAATTAAAATAATTAATTTTTTTTTTTAAAAAGAGGGTGCCCAGGCTAGCCATGTCTCATTCCTCTCCAGGTTCTCTCTACCATGCCTCTTTTCTCTGCCATGCCAGGTACCTTCATCTCCCCCTTACCCTTTTCAGCTTCTTTTTTTTAATTTATTATGAGCTTAAGAAATAAAACAAGCATTTCCATAACATAGTAGATTAGGGAAAGAAAAAAAAGATGATTATATATGAAACTGCAAATCTATTCTGTACAACTCACTATTCCTCTTAAATATATAATAAAGTTATAATGTAATTTTCTTTTTTTCCCTTTTCTTCTTCCCTCTCCCCTCCCTAAAAATGGCTACTATTAGATGCCAATATGTATATATAAGTAAAACCATTTTATACATACTTCTATTTATCAGTTCTTTCTCTGGATGCAGATAGCATCTTCCTTCCTATATCTTTTGTAGTTAATTTGGGAATTTATAATAGTCAAAATGACCTAGTCACTCAAACTTGTTCTTAAAACAATATTGTTGTTACTGTATACAACATTCTCTTGGCTCTGCTCATTTCACTCTTATTTTCATTCTTGCACTATTTCATGCAAATCTATCCATATTTTTCTAAGATCATCAAGCTCATCATTTCTTATAGCATAGTAGTGTTCCATCACAATCATATACAGCTTCTTTTTTTTCAGATTGTTTTCCCCTATTAGAATGCCAGCTTCTTGAGGGCAGGCACTTGTTCTTTCTGCTTATATTGGATTCCTAAGCACTGAGCACAGTACCTCACACTTAGTAAGTGCTTAACAAATGTTTGTTGACTGAATGACTGGTGAGGGAACTTCCTTGTGCAAGTCAATATCTTCTTATAGTCAGAGATATACCTAGAGCATGGAAAGGTCAAGTGACTTTCCTAGGTTCACATAGCCAATATGTATCAGAGATGGTACTTGAGGTCAGGTCTTCCTAGCTCCCAGCTGACTCTCTATCCACCTCCCCATCCATAATTTAATTGACACAAGTCACTTACAAATAATAATAATAATAATAATAATAATAATAATAATAATAATAATAATAACAATACTGAAATGGCTCTGTGATTTCATCAATTTTTAAGTTCCCTCTAATGATCCTGCCATATCCTTCCATAAGTTTGCCATATAGCTTATACATATCATGCTTTAGGGTTTGCAAAGTACTTTACACACTTTACATGATTTGATTCCCCACAACCCTGTGAGGTAGTTCTCTCTGTGGGACATCAAACTAAGAAGTCATATGAGACACCTCTAAGGTCCTTCCTAAATCTAAAGAAACCACTATTATTATTCCCATTTCGTAGATGAGGAATTTGAGGCTGAGAAAGATTAAGTAATTTTATCTATGGTCACCCAGGTATTAAGTGAGATTTAATTTTTGATCTTCATGTCTCCAAATCCTAAAAAAGATACAAGGGAAATGAGTTTGAAGTATACACATCTCAATTTACCAGATCATCCTTGAAAATCTATGGTCATTTCCATCCCTAATCTAGGTTCTGTGATCTTTGGTTTTAGGTACTCCCTTTACAAAACCAGGTTACAACTCTTTCTTATTTAAGTAGAAGAGCTCTTATGGAAAAGAAATTCTTTATTCTGTGGCCAAACTGGTGATGAACCTCTCCAAATTTAGCTAGGTAGGTCCTTGGTAGAAAGAGGTACATTTGAAACTGTTTTGGCTTTATAGAATCTACCAAAGCTAATGCTTGTCTGGCACAGTCTTTAAAGACCTAGGGTCACCTCTACCCACATTGCACCATCAGAGTAGGACTTATGTAGGGAATACACCATTGTGAGGCCAACTTTATACATTAATTAAACTTTTGACAACAGAATCAATTTTGAACTATTATATCCAACAGTCACATAGCTAGCTGCAGAGCACATAAATCACTACTCATTTAAAATGGTTCACCTACATTGAAGGGAAAGAAGCAACATAGGTAGTGGATGGAGGGGCTGGCCTTCGAGACAGGTGGACCTGGGTTCAAGTCCTTCTTCTGTGACACCGGGTTACAATAATTAGCTCATTTTATTTAAGTCCAGGAGTCAATATAATGTCCACTTGGTTGCACTTGGTTAATAGTACATAAATACCAAGCAGGAGAAGGAAGGGGAAAAATGTGTTCATCTTAAGGAATCATATTTTTTTTTTGCATTAATGCTTGTGCTTTTAGAAAGTCCTCTGCAAAGCCAGTTTTAAAGGTATCCTGGTATACTTCAGGCAGGCTTTCAGTTTTCATGAGTTTATCTAAACTTTCAACATTCAATTATCCCAGAACTTCAGCTTTAGGGAGTTTATTTTTGATTAAAAGTTCTGAGTTTAGTCAAGACTATAGAGCCTTAAGTTAGGAAAATTCTTAACATCTAAGAGAAGGTTGGCTTCTCTGCCTAACCTTACATATATCATTTCATATCATTAACCCCTGGCCTCTAAGGTTGAGTCAAAATTTAGTTTACTAAAAAATATTTGGGTAACAAAAGTAGAATTATATTATAGTGTCTGTGGATAAACAGGCAGTAGAAAGGGAAGTTAGGGAAAGAGTTGACCTTTTCTTGGAAATTCTCTCTGCTTGGATCTTTTGTTCCTATATGCCAGCAGAGCCAATGTCTCTCCTCATTATCTGCTTTCTCCATCTCAGTCACCTCTTTTCTTCTCAAAAATACTAAAAATATGGTGCTTTCTCCAACCTCTCAAATCCAGACCCAAAATTTTTTCTCACTGGTTCTGAGTTAACTTCTTCCTTTATGACAAATTAAGGAATCCTTAGAAGGTGATGAGTTTCTCACACAATGGCTTTGATTGATTCAAGGAGGTGTATGGGCCCTGTTCAGCCTTAGTTTTAATTATTTGATTCAATCAAGAAGAGTTCTTTCCTAGTTAAAGGAATGGAGCTAAGATTGTTTCAACACTACCATAAGGTATGTGTCCATGAGAAAGTCATTTAACCTTTCAATTTCTTGAGGCAACTCTCTAAGTTATAGACAAGATTTTTTTCTGACTGAGGCCCACAGCCTTCACCCAGGTGTTAGCAATTCCATCATTATTCTCCCCTCTCCAACCAAGAAAAAAAAGCATGTAAATTTATGTGTATATGCTTATATATACTCACAGATATGACATATTTATATATAAATTACAATTATAAGTTAATTATAAAATAAAAAGTGTTTATATAAATAAAATTATATTTTTACATATATAAAATAGATAAATAATTTACCTTTGTACATATAATTTCATCCAGAAGAATGTTAGGTCCTTTGTAATCACATACCTAGCAAAGTATCTAAAAGATAGGAAATAATTTTAAAATTCTTGTTTAATTGAATTAAATTGTGTAACTCTTCTGCACTGGAAGTCCAGTTTCCTATAACAGTGAAATCACAGAACTAAACTATATTGAAGGATAGGAAAATTCCAAATAGCTAAAATCAAAGTATGTTGGGACTCAGAATGGCTTTGCATGAAAGCAGATACATGGGATGTAGTGTAGGAGACTAAACACTGGATTTAGAACTAGAAAACCTATTGATCATCTCTCTCTTTGTTAGCTTTGGCAAGTCAATTGACTTTCTGTGTTCTTAATTCCTCATCTTTAAAATATAAGGGTTGGACAAAAGTTTACCACAAAAATCTGAACCTAATGACTCATCATGGCTTGGAGGTGGACCTAGGTTATCAAAATTTATGAATTTTGTTAACAAGCTCTGTCAGGTACTACCAAACCTTGAAGTTTTTTCGTATCAGTAGATGGATAATGTGTTTGTGTCCTGAGGAGAAACTGGAACTAGATAATGTCTTTTCTTTAATAGTATTTCCCCCAATTACATGTAAAACCAATTTTTAGCATTCATTTTTACAAGATTTTGAGTTCCAGATTTTTCTCCCTCTCTCCCTCCCTCCCTCCCCCTTTCCTAAAATGGTAAGCAATTTGATATAGGTTATATATATGTAATTATGTAAAATGTATTCCCACACTAGCCACAGTTGTGAAAGAGGAAACAGACAAAAAGAAAAAAAGACTCACAAAAAGAAAAGTAAATGAGAAAAGTATGCTTTGATCTTCATTTAGAGTCCATCAGTTGAACTAGACAATTTCTAAGGCATCTTAATAATTCTGCTCTTCTGGGTTACTTTGTGACCAGCCTAGCTCAATTTGGAGAGGATCATCACTAGATTGACTGCCAAGTGATATATTTTTTGGTGACAATAACTCTTAAAGATCATGTATTAAATAATAAAATAGCTAATATTTATATAGTGCTTTAAAGTTTGCCAAGGGCTTTGCTTATATTATTTCAAGTAATTATTGACTAAAATGAAGAGGACTTGTGATTTGTACTGGTGAAGGGAGTAATTACTTCAATTACATTCTCTCTGTCTCTCTGTCTCTTTCTGTCTCTCTGTCTCTCTCTGTCTTTCTCTGTCTTTGTCTCTCTCTTTCTCTGTTTCTCTCATTTTCTTTATCTTCCTATTTGCTGGCCCCTGCATGTGAAACATGCACAAATCATCCCTATCCTTAAAAAAAAATAAAAATAAAAAAAGTCTGGACTAGACCCTCTTATCCCATCAATCTATCATCCTATATCTCTCCTCCCTCTCTCCTAGAAAAAGGTATCTATACTTATTGCCTCTATTTTCTGTCCTGTTTTTGATACTTCATCTCTTTGCAAAAGAACTTATACTATAATTAGCTAACTGAACCTGCTCTTTCCAAAATTACCAAAGATTTCTTAAATTCAAAATCTAGGGTTATTTTTCTCATTCTTCTTCCTTTCTGCATTTAATACTGTTTATTTCCCTTTCTTCTTAGATAGACTTTCTTCTATGGGTGAGGTTCTCCTCTGACCTGTCTGACCACTCATCTTAGTCTACTTTGCCAAATCATCCCCACAACTGTGGGTGCACCTCAAAGCACCATTATGAGCCCCCTCTATTTGCTTTCTGGATGACCTTATCAGATGATTCTCATATATCTAACCCAAATGTCTCTCTCCCAAGCTAACACCTTACATCATTAAACATCTATTGAAATGTAATGGGGGTTATCATGATTTCCCACTTCCCCATGTTACATTCCTACATATAATGAATGACCTTGGTAGTTTAAATTCTATGAGGACAGCTGCATGCTCTTCTATTATCTCATTTATTTTTAGTTTAACTCCTATTAACAATTTTATTTCTATCTTTTCTAATTCAAAGATCATTTTCTTTAGAAAGAGCAAAAATAGAGGTGGAGACTATATGGTGGCATATCAGGGAGAAGCATAGCCAAGTTTCACCCTCCCTCCCACCAACATCTCCAAACAGATCTAGAAAATGCATCAGACCAAGCCCTGATCAGCATAGGGGGACATACAGAGAGGTCTATGGACACTAAAGATGGAGCCAGAAACAGTTGAGTGAGGCATTCAAACACAGGAAAACACTGTGTACTGGGACAAGAAGAGATTCCAAATGCAGCAAAGAGAAGCCCAAACTTATGCAGGGTGCAGGAATAGATGCAAACTGGCATCTCAGTTGCTTACTACCCAGTTCCAGGTCAGAGATGAATAAGGAAGAGACCTGCACCTAGGAGAGGTGTTCCAAGATGAAGAATAGTCACAGGCTCTATAGTCTATGTACCAGGCCAGGAGTGAGTTCAGGAATAAGGAGCATCTACGTGAATCTGACTCCAGGAGTGGAGTAGTATCACTTCCACCTTCTAGTCCAGTCTGAAAGTTCTGGTTGAATAAATAGGGCAGGAATCCCAGACCAAAGTGGAGCCTGCAGTTCTGCTACTCTGAACCAGTAGATCTTTCTACCTGGCTGATAGTGGCCAAATCCAGTAAAAGTCTACTAGAATTCCAAAAGAAACAAGTCCAGAGGTATATTGCTCAGATCCAAACCCAGGCAAGGAATCTGCAGAACTCAGAACCAAAACTCAGGTCAAAAATTAGACTTTATTTTGGATCAGACCACTTTGAGAATGCTGAAAATTTCTGGATTTCCAATATAAGCTGTCCCTGAGATCCTGGGATAACAATACTAAACACTTTCATAAAAGCAGCAACAGTCCCAATGCAGACATTGCCTCCAGAAGTATTGATTCCTGGCCTTCACATAAAGTCCAAGCTAGGCAATAGGGAAGAAGAATGAGGAAGCAAACTAACAAGAAAAAAAAATCCAGCCATAAAAAGCTATTATGGTGGCAACAATACTCAAAAATAAACCCAGAAGAAAGTAATGACTTGAAAACATGTACAAGAAAAGCCTCAAATAAAAATATAACTTAGGCAAAAATACAGCTAGAATTCCTACACAAGATAAAGCAAGAGTTGGGTGGGGGGGATTATTCATGAAATGTGAGTGCTAAGGAGGAAAATTGAAAAGAAATAAGAGATATGAAAGAATGAATTATAAAGAGAATTAATAGATTGGCACAAAAGTTAAAAAATCTTACCTAAGCCCCAAACTCTCTGAAAATTAGAATGGACCAAAAAGAAACTAATGATTTCATGAGACAACAAAAAATATTAAAACAAAGGCAAAGACTGAAAAAAAAAAATTAAGGTAGCTCATAGCAAAAACAACTGACCTGGAAAACAGATAGAGGAAAGAAAATGTAAGGATCATTGAATTACCAGAAAGTTAAGACCTAAAAATGAGTCTTTCAGTAAATCATAAAAGAAAACTGCCAAGATTTCTTAGAACCAGAGGGCAAAGTTGGAATAAAAAGAATCCACTACTCACCTTCTGAAACTCCAGAATAAAAACTCTTGAAAATCGTTATAGCCAAAGTCCATTTATTCTGGTTTATTAAAGAAAAAAATACTTAAACCAGACATAAAGAAAAAAGTTTAGCACTGATAATCCATAGGCAGGATTACACATGCTTTAGCAATGGTCAATATAAAGGTGTTGAGATCTTAGAATACAATTTTGGCTTATAGCCAAGAATAACTTACCCAGAAACATTGAGTATAATCCTACAAAGAGGAAAATGGATTTTTAATAAAAGACACCCAAGTATTCCAATGAAAAGACTAGAGCTCATAGAAACTTTAAAGTGAAAACACAGGAGTCAAGAGTAACAAAAAGGTACACATAAGCAAATAAACACCAGGAACTAAAATTCCAATATAGGGAAAAATAACATGTGCCCCTCAGGACTCTATCATCATCAAGAGTGGCAGAGGGAATATAATAGGCAGAGGACCTGTGAGGTGTTCTGTTATGTCTTGATGAAAAAAAGAAAGGAGGGGAAGAGAAATACATTAGAGGAAAAGGGACAAAAGGGACAAAAAGGATAGAGGAATTTATCTCAAATAATCAGAGTATATATGTAAAAGGATAGTAGGAGAAGTTAATACTTGAACCTCACTCTCATCTGAACTGTTCATAAGGGAATTGGGGGAGGAGAAACATACACATGGAGAGTGGGGTACAGGAATATATTTCAAACAACAGGGAATTGGTAGAGAAAGGGAAGTAGGGAGAAGGGGGAATAAAAGAAATGAGAGTAGTCCTAAGTAAAGCAAACTCTAACTGAAGATGTACAAATGTGTGTGTGTATGTGTATGTTCTTATTGGTGGGGCAAAGAATTGGAAACTAAGCACTCTAGAATACTATTGTGCTATGAGAAATGATTAAAGGGATAGTTTCAGAGAAACCTGGAAAGAATTTAATGAACCGATGAAGCATCAAGCGCTAAGAACTAGAAGAATGATTTACACAGTGATAACAATATAGTAAAGACAAGCAACTTCAAAAGATTTAGGAACTCTGATTAATGGAATGATCAAGTATGATTCCGGAGGACTCATGATGAAATATGCTACCTTCCTCCTGAGAGAGAGGTGCAGATTAAGATACAATTTTTTTAAACATGGACAAGAATTCATTTTGCTTGACTATCCTATTTATAAAGGAAGGTTTGATTTTCTTTCTTTTCATTTGGAGAAAGGGGAAGTGAGAGGAAGAGAAGATGAATTTTTGTCTATTAAAAAAATTAAATTTAGGAAGGCCAAGATGGTGAAGTAAAGGCAAGGACTCACCTGAGTTCTCCCCCAAACCCTTCCAAATACCTTTAAATAATGACTCTAAACAAATTTTAGAGTGGCAGAGCCCACTAAAAGACAGAATGAAACAATTTTCCAGCCCAAGACAACTTATAAAATTGGCAGGGTAAGTCTCTTGCACCTGGGTGAGAGTGGAGCACAGTCAAGCACAGGCCACACCAGCACTGCCCCAGCTTCAGCAAACCAGAAGCAGGCCTTGGGAGCCACTGAATCAGCAGTGGC